CATGATGTTAATGAATTCGACACCAGAGTAGATGGGTATCTGGCTATGCCTTTACTCTTAAAAGACCCATTTCTAATGAACTTGAACTCTTATATGACGTGTTACGGCACTTTGAGTCTGTGCCCGTCTTTCCTTTGGACTAATCTTCAGAAATAAACATATCTTTGTATTACCATTTTTCTTAAATAATGAAAATATAAACTTCCACATATCACATAGGCCACTATACATAGTTTGCAGATTATTACATTACTGTTATTTAGTGTGTACTTTTTAAATACTCTCTCTTATTTGTTAATCAGGCAAAAGCTTTCTCTTAAAAATACACGCTGACTGACTTTTCCAGTTCTGTTTGCTTACCCTGAAGGCTGACATGCAGAACAGGTGTGGAGTGGAGAGATCAGCCATTCTCAAAGGGCATGGCAACAGCTGAGGCGATTGAGTTTCTTGCACTTTATACCTTGTGATGCTTGTTGATTTTAAACAACTGAACAACTTTATCTGAGAATATGTCTTATTTTATCATTTTTCACCTTAGCCAGTGAATTAAGATGGCATTATTTTCTCTTAATATATAATATTTATATTATTTCCCATGATAGTATGATGGAAATATATCCTTTCTAAGAAAGAAATTTTAAATATGAAAAATAAGCTTAACTGTTAGGAGAAATAGACAAGATTGTTTTTCTTCTTCCACATCCCAAATTCATTATAATGTTTTGTATTTCATGCTGTTGTCTTTGCCGTTTCAACTTTATCTTCAGGAGTTTACTAAGCATCCATGCTATGACTTGAACAAAGTTTTTTTTTTTTCAGTCCTAATTAAATCCCAGGAGAGATTAAATTACGTCCATAAGTGTTGACTCAGTCCCTACAAACTAGACTGTACAGTGATTGGAAGGAAAAGGAGAACTTTGTTCCTGTCCTGAGGATGCAGTCAATCTATTTGGGATAGCCAGGTGCCTCATGCCTAAAACAAAGGGTTAGAATTGGAAGAGTTTTAAAACAGAAAGATTCCACAAGTCACTGTACCAGAATACTACAGAAAGGATGGAAACTTGAACTGTATATAGAAAATGAACAGTAGTGATAACTGACTTGTGCTCTCTAGGCAGAGGGATGTACATCTGTAATGTTCAAAAGAAACAATATGATTTGATCAGTTGACAAAAGGGCTTCAGACAAGATACAGTTGGAAAAAGAGGCTGGATAGTTTGAATGGTGAGATAAGAAAAATGCACCAATTTCAACCAAGAGCAATAATTTAATTAAGCATCTCATTCTGCTGCAAAACCAGATCATAAAGGTACCACAGGCATCAGAGCCAAGTAAAAATAATCTTTTCCATAATCCTTTACACTTACTGACCCTTTACTCTCAAGAATATAAAGAATTAGATATATAAGAAAAGATAGACTTTTTAAAAATTAAATTTTAACACAATGTACTATTTCATTTTTGAAGTCAACGTAATATATCCACTTGACAAATACGGAAATGATGCAAAATAAAAACCTTGTACTTTTTAAAGAGTAGTTTGTTTAAGAAGGTTTTCACACACTACAGGGAAAGCATTTCTTGTACAACGTGCATATTCAGAGCTAGGCTGGAAACCTAGTGAAAATTTAATTTGCAATTTTAAAAGTTTTAGCTAAATGATAGAAACATTAGATAATTGACCACATATATTTTTTAATGAGGAAAATTAAGTTGTGCTGACAAGTTTTTTATTATAAAAGTTCCATAAAATAAAAATGCAAATACATTTAATCAAATAAGTAAAAATAATCCTTTTAGCTGCTCTTTTTACAGAGGCTCACAACTGTGGACATGCCTGGTGAACATGGCCTGTCATTTCACATCTCATAGAATCAAAGTTGACCTTCTTCAGTTCCACAGGAAATGGTTAGGACAGTATATTAACAAAAGAAGGTCCTTATTGAATCATCCATTTTACAGAGGCATTGAGTAAGAATTTGAAAGAAAATCCAGCTATCATAAAATAAATCAGTCGATGGACCAGCCTATATTTTTACTTGTTCTGCTATTTTGTTTGTTTGCTTGCCTTTTAGTTTATTCATTTGCAAAAAGCCTTTTAGTTAAGAAGACAGTAGGCCTTTTGCATGAAATAATAGCCATAACTAGGAAAATACTTAAAAACCATGTGACTACCGCTGGAGAAAAAGGGTATCTTACTTATTTCCTCATATTCGATCTGAATATTTAGAGTTTTTCCATTTAACCAGAAGCCTGGTGCAAGACGAGTTATAAGAAAAGTTCTGTTTCTCTCACAAGATGTTAACAAGTCCATTAATACAGATAGTCCTTGAGACAATTTACTATCAAAGCTCATAAGGAAAACATTGCTCCATTAAATCAGCATTCCTCAGTGTTGATGGGAGAATGTTATCAACTGATTTGTTTCCTATTGGTTGAAAAATCTACTGTGATATTGATAGTGTACACAAGCATAACTCTTAAAAAGATAATGACTTTTACTACCTATACTTGCTTGGCTTGTCAGTTAATATTTAGAGTTTTGCTTCTAAGAGTCACAAGCCCAGCAAAATAAAAGGTGATAGTGATCATGTCACATTTCTCACTCACTACAGGAAGGGGATGTGCAAAGCTCCTAATTGCTAATTATCCTACCATGTCTTCTTTAGGCCAAAATCCAGTACTTGGTGAGACATGGTACAGGCAGCTATGCATAAAAGATGACCTTTACCATGACTGTTCATAGCTTTATCATGATTAGCAGAGACCACCAACCCTTCCTATAACTCATTCTTATTCAACATAGAGATGTGACCAAAAGAGATCACTAAAACCTACCTCTCCTTATAGCTATCATTTCATAAGTTCTTCATAAGTAATGTTTGAAAAGTCAGTCATCAAGTATTTCTTCGCTGCATACAAAGAAATACACAACTGAGTATTTAAAATTCTTTGAAGTTTGTTATTGTCTTACTACAAATGTATGAGAACATTTAGTGAGTTAATGTTATCAGAAGTCAAATAAAAGAGATAAAAGAAGTAACACTGACCATTTAAGGAAATAGTTCCAGCTTTGGCACCTGTGCTCATAAAGTATTATAGTGTTCTTTGCATTAAAGAGATATGGAATATTGACTAAAATTCTTAAAATATAGATTTCAAAAACTAAGAAATTGAATTCTAGTTTAAGTTGGAACAGTCAATAAAACTATCGTGAAAAAAAATTTAGAGATAATTTCAAGGTAATACTTAAAGATACTCCACTTGTATTTAATGAAAATATGTTCCTCAAACAATCAAATATTTGCCTCCTGTCCTACTTCAGGATGTTTGCATTTGGTCAACTAAAGAGATGAAGTCAAGCATTCAGTTTCAAAGGGACATGGGAATAGCATGCAATTGTAAGATTGAGAAATAGTTGTGTACCTAAAGAAAATCAAGCAAATTATTTGCTTTCAGAGGAAAGCCAGTTTAAATTTTTATTATTTTCTCACAAATGCATACATCTGAGACATATGGGATGATATATGTAAGTTTTAATTATTGAGTTTGCCATTATAAGCAAACAAACTATCACACTAGTGCTAAGAGTTTCCCTGAAAGAAATTCTCACTGCAACACGATAGGTCGAGCAGGGCTCCTCTGTGTGACACTCCTTCACACTCCCAACAAGTTAAAATTGCCATGCTATTTCCTTACACACAGGGATCTATATATGCAGAGTACCAAAGACCAGAGCACAGGGTCTTGCATATTAATGTCATCCAATAAGTTGCTGAAATAAGTCGTATATGAATCTTTCCAGCATCCCTGCCTTACTAAAATCACTATTTCCATTATTTCATAACTTTACCCTTAATCACAATGGCCAAAATCACAACTATATTCAATATTCATTTCCTCTCCAGTAAATTTCCAAACACCTCTTTTGCCTGCTCACACTTTTGAGTCATCATTTTAAAATCCAATGATCATATAATGAGCATCACCAAAGACAAGGTACTCATTCTCTTAGTGAAACTTGGAGTATAGTTCAATACCTTACAATGAAAAAAGATTAAAAACTCATTTGAAAGAAAGAGTATTACATACAGAACAGTTTGAGTATATTTTTATTATCATTATTGGATGTCGTATGCTCTATAGGTGCAAAGTCTTCCTGAAGCAATGTTGGTGGAACTTTAAAATTTTCAGAGCTGGACACTAATGGACACTGAAATTAGTCAGCTGTGTTATAGTCTCCCTTTCACAAGAAAAATGTTGCTGAGACATGCTACCCATAAAAATTTATAGAATTGTTAGATAATTCCCCAATTGTTTCAGAAGTCTTTGTCAAATGTGGTTTATGAATGCTCCAAATTTATAAAAGTAAAGAAGAAAGAAGAGTGTGCATATGAAGTATAATTCAAGGGAACATAATACATTTCTTCCATTTAAGTTTCTATATTGCAGTATACATGGGTGTTTTCTTAAAAGTATAAAATAGAAGCTGAAATATTTGAACTATCAGTATGTGCTGATAAATGACAAAGAGGTAAATGCAAATTTCATGGTCAACTCTAAAGGCTAAAAGAAAAATTTCCTCTGCTATTGTCTGTGTTTTATCTATTTTTAAAACCTGTTGGGGGAATGTGCTCTCAGGGGGGAAAAATGAAGCTTTACTGCGAAAGAAATGAATGCAAGAAATTGTGCTTTAAAGAGTGCAGAGACATGAAGCATTGCAACTTCATAGTCTGCTAAGGAGCAACAGCTGTACCTAATTTCAACTTGATGTGCTTCAGATCTCATATTCATATAGGTATTTAATGATCCAAACATAATGGTCCTATATAGAATAATTACTTATATGAAGGAGCAAACTTCATACGCATTCCTTTTTAAATGATCCTTCAAGAGAAAAACTGCACTGGCTCTGAACAATGAATAAGTATTTTTCACCAATCCAAATGTTTGGGGCTAAATAGCTTATCTTTCAAGAGAGAATAATAATTGGGCCAAGCTCACTTCTTTTTGACAGACTCTCTTTGCCTCCCCCCTTCCCAGTATAACCAATATAAGGAAAAAAGGTAGAAGGCCAAGCCCATCATTAAGTCATAGTAGTAGATGGTTACAAGAAATATCAGAAACAAAAGGAAATAAGATATTTTAGAGTTGATGTATTTTGAGAACAGAGACTCCCTGCTTCGAGCTTGACTTTCTTGGGTAGGGAGACTTGCAGAAGCAGAGCTCTCAGATCCTTTGTCACTGGAAGAACATTGTGACTGTCCAGAGTTTTCTAATCCTTCATTTTCATGCCTTGCCTCATCCAGGTTATCAAGAGATTCACTGGCTAAAATCATCGGCTCTTGGGATTTTTCCACATTACCTTCTCTTCTTTGGAAAATCTGACCCACATGTCTTTCTCTTCGATTATCTGCTTCCATTATTTCTGAACTTTCAGAAACACCTTCAAGCTTAGACGCAGCATAACCCTGAGTTCCACTAATTGGATTGCAGTTGTAGTCTGAGTTGGTAGGAATAGACTGGAGTGCTTTGGTAGTAAGTGTTTTCTCTTCAGAAGCAGGTACTGAAGTTTCAGTGTGGTGACTGGAAGCAGCAGAGCTGCTCCAAGGGGCTCTGGCAGTGTCTGAGTTAAATGCATACTGAAGGGCATCTAAGTCTCTTTTGTTTGATAATTCTTGGAGGGGCCCAAGATCTTTATTTTCTGGGAGTATGTTTTTGTCTGTTGATAACATTCTCAAATGTAAATCCATTTTTGACATTGCTGTTTGAGTGCCTGTAATGACCTGTGAAGGTTGTTCTATTCCAGCTCCAAGTTTCTCCCTGTCATATATCTTCCTAGGATTGTACGTAGACACAGTTTCCTCCTTCTCCATTTCATCCACATGTACATTACAAATATCTAAATGTGACTCCTTTTCAAAATCATTGTCATGGATTACACCGGCTGTATCTCGATGACAAAGGGTATAATGCGAATCATCGTTTCTCCCTTTATGTGGATCAAACGCTGTTTCTTTTACCTCCATAGGCCTGTCACTTCGCGCTGTCTCTTGAGGTAGCTTAGCAATTATTGCTCTTCCTCTAGCAGACATGCTTTCTGGAGTACTTCCTAATGTTGTCTTAATTATATAAGCTGTGAGCGCTTCTGCTTTCTCGGTGATACCATGATCAGCTAGAGGAGACAGCTCACAGCACTCTGTCTCTTGGCAGGTAAACAATGGCTCTGTAGGAGTAGCTTTCAAACTCCTCATGCTAGCTCTTTTTTCCCACATGTCTTTACAATCCGCCTGTTCTTTGGTCTGCTCAGTTATATTTGTTTTACTCTCTCTTGCTTCTCGTTGACTTTCTAGAACCTTCCAATTTTTTTTATGCTTTGTGTTCTTATTCAGATCTTCAGGATTACTGGCATCAGATTTTTCCTTTTCAACATGAAAAAGATAATCATTCATCAAAACATTTCCATTTCTTGGCGAACCATCGCAAGTAGCTACTGGTTCTAAAGTACTCTCACCAGTTGAGAGATGTCTGTGTGGGGAGAATACAGCTTCTCTGCAGTTCATCTTTGTCTTTGTTGAAGGATCTGTTGCTGCTGCCCAGGAGGGAGATGTGGTGCCTTTGCTCGGCAGAATAGTTAAATCTTGGTTAACTACTGCTCCTTCCGGGTTTATTCTTGGGAGGTCCATTTGTTTTTCTTGGGTGTATAAGATTGAGTGGAAACTTCTGCTTTGTTTCTCGTTAACACCCAGGCAAGTTCTCTGCTTCACATCTTTGCCCTTGCCATAATCACCCTTTGAAGATCCATTTGATTCTTCCAGATATGTGGCCACAGCTGAACAGCACTCTCTCCTTGAACACCCCCAGTCTTTTATTCCAATTTTCTTAGCTCCTTCTTCATGATTCTTATTCAGGTTACCTACCGTTAGTTGATCAGAGGAGAAGCAAGATATTTGCACTCTGCCACTCCAGTGGGCTGGATTAGCGTTATCATCCAGGAATTCCTTGGTGCTGATGTGCGATTGCACTAATTCATCACTGCTGGTATCTCCCAATGACGGCCTGATTTCTCCCACATCTGAAATAATTTCCTCTGAAGGTGGAGGACTACAGTCATTTCCTGAGGAATATTTTTCACTGTGAGAGAAATCTTTCTTTAGGGAGCTTTCTGCTGATGAACTTAGAAACAAAGGCCCTTTGAATAAGTCAGTGTGTGTTTCATCATGGCATTGCTTCTTCTCTGACGCCTCAGCTTTATTTGTGAAATTGACTGGATCTGTTGAAAATGTAGGCTTTTCATCTTGGGAAGCAGCACATCCAGTTATTAAGCGTTGATTTATCTTGTGGGAGAAAAACAACAAAAAACAATGACTATACGATCTTTTGAAATGCATGGAGTGAATTAGTTTTCATTAACCCAGTAATTATTTGGTAGATTTCTTTGACTCACTTCATTTGTGGATTTCACACAGACTCTGGAAGTCTCATGTTTGGGGGGGGGGGGGGGA